GTTTTCGCGCCTTCTAATGTGTATTTTCGGATTCAGCGTTATGATAACCCCTGGTAAGTGGGTTTTCTAAAAATCGAGGTTTTGCCCACTGCCTCTAAGCTGCTATAGCCCATAGATAATTTCCCAGTAAGATCTCGTGTATAATTCAGAGATGAAGGTCAGCCTTATGTCACTGAATGTTTTACAAAAGCAGCCACAAATTTTTTGGAGTCTCTCATTTTTTACTTGTTCAGAGTCAATTTCCTACTGGAAGAAATCTGTGAGGATCTCGCTCCGCACCTTGCAGAGTTGTTTTCTAGAAAATGGTGCGATAATTTTTTGAGCCTTAAGAGACCCTTCTCCCTTCGACTGTGATTTAGGCTCGTTGGCTGTTCTGCTTTGGAGACTATATGTATAACTGTGCAGGATTACTATGTTGATCATCGTCACCTTAGACCTGCAACTCGTTGTGCGCTTTTGATGGATTTACAGTTCATGATAGTTGGGGAGTATTTGAAAGCGATTGATTCACGGTAAAATTGTGGAGAAGTCACTTTATTGAGAAAATGCGTTCATTTTAGCCGTCTGACATTTGCAAACTATGAAGAACGTGCTTCTGCCGGTAATCGGATGAAAGCCGATTCTACACGAATCGAATCGTTATTTAACCAGCTTCTGGAAAGCGGGGATATTAATGAGCCGGTATGCGTGATCTGTCATTTTCTAGACCCAGAAATTATGTTCAGTTTTTGCAGTTTTCTCTTATTACGTCACTGATCGCAAGCTGTGGCGACGTAATCAGCCTCCGTGACAAGTCTCTTCTTACTTTGGAAGTCACTACATTCAGCAGAAAATACCCAAATATTCCAACAGAACTGCTTTCTGCTCTTCTTGCTTGTCGCGATGATGTCTCACGCAGTGAAGCGAGGTAATACTCAAAAATGTTGGAAATGTGGACCTTGGGCTTTTCGGAACGGAGTGGGAGGCTTCAGCCAAGCTGCTGCCCAAATGACACCTTGTAGGGTTCACGCAGGGCCGAGAAAATCAACTCTGAACTCTCGCCCGCACCGTAATCTTTGCAGGCGGATCGACCTAATGTACGGTGTGGGCGAGAACTTTCAATTGATTTTCTCGGCTGCGAATAAATCATATGACCTGATATTCAAGGAATGGCCTAATTGTGGACTACCAATCTGTATTCGAAA